CCTCTCTTCTTTCCTGTCTGTAACCTCAACTGAAGCAAGTTTTCCTGCCTGCACCGCGACCATCTTCAGTGTAAGTGAACAATCTTTAAATCTACCATTACGAGTCCGTGCCTAATTCTAGCGTGTCGCCCGTTCTCTCCGACCCCGCGTGCCCGGGCTGCTGGCCACAGCCCGCGCAGAGCACAAAAAAGGGCCCGGCTCACACCCGGCCCGCACATGGCGGCGAGGATGGGAGCCGGCCCGCACAGACATAAGGAAGAACTTCTTTATTGTCCAAGCCCCCAAGCTTTGGAATACACTGTTGCTGGAGGTGGCTCAAGCACCTACTCTGAACGCCTTGAAAAGACATCTGGATGTTTATCTTGCTGGGATCCTATGATCCCCGCTGCCTTCCTGCCCCTGGGGCAGGGGGCTGGACTCGATGATCTTCCAAGGTTCCTTCCAGCTCTAGTGTCTATGAAATCCAATTACCTGTGGGTGCCCACTTCTTACAAGGCAACCACACCCTCTCCGATCTCTCAGTTCTAATCCTCAAAGGGAACTTAAAAACAGCATTCATAGATGAGCCTACAAACTTCACTTCATTCATCTACTGGATACAAAAAAATCATGGACTTAATATAGACATTGGATTTACACACATTATAACCTGCCTGACATCTGATACCCCCAGGTAACCTGCCTCTAGCTGACCACTTGCATTCCTTCACACATTTCCCTCCCTTCCTATTTCCACCTATTGTCTTCCAAACTTCCACTCATTTGTATTTTCACAGACCTGCATGTGTAAATTAGCTTCTCTTCTACCTTAGAGAACACATAACACCAGCAGAGTCTCCCTATGCTTGATGGAAGGTGTTTATGCCTGAAAGCTTGCAAAGAACTTTTTTCCAACTATTTAGTTGGTCTAATACAAGGTATCACATCAACCCAAAGAATCTTGCCTGCCTTCAGGTGGTGAAGCATGTGTCTCAAACATAACCAAGACAGACAGCCTAAGAGCAGCTCTGGGCACAGGCTCAGTGAGCTCTAAGGGGGCCATACTGCCACGTTTTAGATGTCAGCACAGACAGAAGAGGAGCAAGGATGCAGCATGCTTCAGGCACAGCTTGGAGGTGCTATAGACCTAAATCTCTCTTCGGTTTGGTTACCCACAAAATGGAAATAATAGCACTTGCCAAATTACCAGGGAGGTTGTGAGGATAAACACATTAAAAGATTGTGGGATGGCCAGAACCTACAATAATTGGGTACATATAATACTGAAACTAGATAAACACTTCTCTACTGCTGCTTTTCTGTGTCCCTAAATGCCAAAAGGATGTAGGAAAGGGAGTGGGGAGGTAGGGGACCATGAGACACTCCCATCCTATTGAACTCGTGAACTGTGCTGTGAAGTGCTACCAAACACTTCATGTAGATCTTAAAGAAGCTCAGAAGACTATACCAACTGCAAAGAAGCACTTGATATAGCATAGCACCAAAAGGCATTCACTAAGTTGAATTCATTTGTTGCTCACTGAAAAATTGCTTGGAATCTCAGTCAAGACTAAGTATAATATCATTTAATATAACATGGTGTTTCCCAGAAGGATGATTTGTTTGCTTGGCAATGAGAGAGAGGCTTTATTTTAAAAAGGTAAATAGCAGTGAAAAGGAAAATAAATGCAAGTGTTATTCAGAAAGCAACCAATAATAAACTAACGCTAAGACAGTGAAGATATTGTCAGAAGACACCCACTGATTTCAGACCTATGTTTTTGTTGTCAATGTTCCTGAATATCACTGACTGACCATCTTAACACAGAGATTGCCATTCTCATATGCTACACTAAAAAACATTAACTTTAATGTGTCTAATACAGCTAAAGTATTCCATGTATTTTTGTATGGGCTGATATTTCTATGGAATCCACTTGACCATCGTTATTTGGAAAGCACATTATTTCTTTGTGAGGTTTGCCCAGCGTACAGGACATATTGGTGCGGTAGGGCACAGGATGCATGTAGGTGTGTGCAGAGAGATGGCTGCCTAAGTGTATGTGTGTATAGTTATTTACTGTTGCACAAACAGGCTTTATAACAGAGATGTGTATGCTGATATATTATTTTATTAATAATCAGTGTTCTGTTTATACAGGGGTGCAAATGGAACCACATTTGCCTGCATTTAGCTTTGAATGCATATGCTGAATACCTTGCACAGATGGCAAACTATTGTTCATTCCAGCAGGGTGCTTGGTATAGGGGAAAAAGATTGCAGTTTCTTCCCCCGTTGCAAGTCATTTAGAAGCAAAATGGGTTAAGCATCCTAGTAGTCTTGAGTGCTACAAATACCAGGTTAACTCATCTTGGAGTAATTCACAGTCTATGTGGACATGGTCTGCTGGCTTGAAGGTAGGGTGAGGACAGCTGGGGACTTGCTGTTGGCAGCAGCTGTGCCAAAGTGTGTATGTTCTTTCTTTTCTGAGCAGTAGGGTGTTTTCCTCTCAAGTTTCCCTCCTCCCCCCACCAAATTATGCCTGCCCAAATTAGTCTGTAACTCAAGTAAACCCAGCCTTGTCTCTGTCAGTAAGGCCATTTGTGGACATGTTCACCATTTTCTAAACCAGTGTTTCTCAACCCATGGATCGTGACCGACAAGCAGGTCACAAGAATATATGAACAAACCTTGAAAATGGATCAACTAACTTTAAAAATGGATTCTCCTTTAAAGGAGAAAAACATGAAAAACTGCACATTACCCATTGCAGGCTGGCAGATTTCTAGCCTGCAATGGACTCTGCCCGCACTGCGGGGCTGGGGGCATGGAGCAGTGGGTCGGGAGTGAGGGGCACTGGGTCAGGACTGGCCATCAATGTTTACAAATGGGTCCTGGTACAAAACAGGTTGAGAACCACTGTTCTAAACCGTGTTAACTGATTCACATCACACAGTTCAAATTAAATTTCAATTTAAATTAAGGGTTAATAGAAGATCATTAACCATCAGCCCCTTAACAGACCCAATTCACAACCTCTGTGTGTGGGTTTATGCATTTAATAAATGCATAAACATTCATGCTCTTGTAGGTATTTAGGAGGCAATAATGAGACTGTTTAAAGCAGTGTTACATTGTTGCAAGCCGACTGACAGTTATCTAAAGTGCTGTTCCAGAAGCCTTCATGGGTGCACCTGACCTGAGTGCTGATGACCATCTCAGCCAATGTCTTGGGGGCAGGGCAGGGGGTTTCCTTCTTCACAGACCAGTGACCTATTCACTGGGGCAGGGCTGGGAGCTTAGTCAGGTGTTGTTGGCACATTTAACTTGGTAAAAAATGTTATTTTGTGCCTGATAGCTTCTCTTGTGTTACAAAAATCCACCTGAGTTTCCCTTGCAGGGACTGATATTTGCAATGCTTATCTGCCAAGTTCCTAAGGACTGGTGTTAAGCAACAATTAACACTATTTAAATTGCCTAGTTCAGATTGCTCTATTCTGCATTAACTTTAAATCTCATTCGATGGACTGTTCATTCGGACTGGAGCCATTTAAATTCAGACTACAGACATCCATGCATATATAATAACGGTTGTAGTCTGGATTAAATCTAGAAAAAATGTAACATCTATAAAAAGCTGCTTTCAATCCCTAACACCCCAGCATTCCCTGCTGGGATTTTAGGCCACTAGGTACTCACTTGTGGCTGTTTCTTTGGCCTTCCCCTCTTTCTCTTTGGCAGTTCAGGAGGAGGGGATGAGCCAGGGTCCATTTGTTTCTCATTGTTGCTCATGGTGGCACGTCTCACAGCTTCCAGATGATAGCACAAGATATTACTTTTCCATGGGCACTTGACACAATAGAAATGAAAATCTCACCTCCTTGCTCTCTTTCTCCTTTCTTATTAAGATACCTTTTTCCACCTGCAGGGATATCAATAAGGACAGTCAGGCATGAGAGCTTGCTACTTTCCTGCTAGTGAGAACGGTTTACAGAGTTCAGGATACGGCAGCCTTCCAGCAGCACAGCGATACTCTATAAGCACTTATTTATTCCCACTGCCCCTCTCCTTTCATTGCTGTTTCTTTTAAAAATATTAATTTAGTGCTGGTGTTTGTCCTCAAGGCAGAAATGTTTTTACAGTTCTTCAGGTACCACATGGACAGCAACAACAGAAGAGAGGACTTAGCCCCTGACTTCTGGACTGTTAGAGCTTTTGCTGACAGATGTTATATTAATGTTGCCATTTTCTATAGGATGGGATGGCGTTTGACAGACACAACCTGGCTGTGGCAAATCAGGTCTAGGTCTCCCAGGCACATTTTTGTTCAGATACAAGAAGGCATTTTGTTTGGACCCTTTACATTAGTTTATTTGAAATAGTAATTTCACTTTGGCAGAACCACTCTACCTCTTCCTCAGTTTCTCCTACCCAATGCCCCATGTAGACTCCTCTGTGGCTGAAACAGCTCTGGTCCAATTTGTTTGGCTCCAAGAAATATCTCAAGCCATGAGCTGTTGATGGAACATGAGAAAACCAAATAAACTTTCAGAAGTGATGGATACATTTAGGTTTCCAGTTTTCCTGCCTTTAAATTAAACTTCAGTTCCTAAGCCACTTCTGCAGGTGACATGTGGTGACTCAAGTGGTATGCAGAATCCATGGGAGAATGCACCATCAATTCACAGCATAGCATTATAATATTTTCTTCATTGTTCTAAAATAATGCATAAGGGAGCAGAAACTGAATTCAATTTCTGTTTGTGCATGAATAACACTTAAATTCCAACCAGGTGGTCCTTTACAAACCCACAGGTGTTGCTGCATGCTCAGCTTTTCCATCCACCCAACTGACAAGATGGAAAGACCTTAGCTTGATTCTCTGAATTCAGGTAAAATGTAGGGTAAAATCTGGCTCATGCCTTGCATCAACAGAACACAATGAATTCTGTTAGTCAAAGCATCTAAAAAAGGCAAGCAGGAGGCAGAGCAAAGAGAAAACTTTTGTTCCAATAACAAAACTAATAACGATTTACTTTCACCTTATGAGAACTTACTTTCACCTTCCAAGAAATCAAATGCTCATATCTGTACTAACACTACCAGCAGATCAAGAGATACTGTGTCCCTTGACTCTGTTAGCACTCTCAGATGTTAGGGAAGTTCAATGACATTCCCAGAAAAGGGAGCTGTAGCAATAGTTTGGAATACATTCTCTTCCTGGCAGATTCCTACATGAATAAAGGACTAGAAGGGATCTCCTAGGCTACCAAGTGCTCTGCTACTGCAGGGAATCACATCATAAAATCCTTTATATCAGCTAATCAAGTTTCATATTAAACAGCTTGGCTTTTATGCCCACTACCCCTATTCAGAGGCTATTCCAGAACCTCAGTACTCTGATGGTTAGAAACTTCAAATTTTCAGCCCACATTTATTTACAATGAGTTTATATCCTGCTGTTCATTCACAAGAATTGCCCTTTAGTTTAAATACCTCTTCTCTCTCCCTGGTGTTTACCCCTCTGATATATCTAAGAACAGTAATCACTTCCCATCTCAGCATTTTTGGGGGGGGGGGTAGGGAGGGGGGTTCCTACGCTAAACAAATCAACCTGCTGAGAGACTCCTCTCATAAGAAAAGGAGCTATGTTCTCCTAATCATTCATGAAGTCCTCCTCTGTATCCATTCCATTTTAGTTAATCTTTCTTGAATAGAGATGATCATAATTGCAGACCACATTCAGCTGAGGTCTTAGCAGTGCCTTGTACTGCTTACTGAAGAAATCTTACTGATGAAAAATAAAAGTATTTTCCCCAGCTCACTGGAAATTCTTCAGGTTAGGTCCTCATGCCTAACCAGCCCATCACATATCTGAGAAACATGCATGAAGGAACAGTTCAGCTGGAAAAGAACAGTTTGTATAAAATATCAACAAGAGGAGTTTCAAAGTGGGTACAACTAGCCTCTCAAGGGACCCTGCAGATGTCTGAGTATTGGTTCTGCCTTTGCAAGCCTACTTATGACAGTACAACTACTTTCATTTGGGGGGCAGGAGACATGGGTCACTTCTAAAGCAACTCATTTCTACCTTATTTTTTAGTGGTGGTGAAAAGTCCTCAACTCCTAGCCTAGCAGGAGCCTAAATAATAGATTATTTAGTCTTGTAGGGTTCAATATGGGCAGCAGCTACACGCGCTTCCCTGCTTCATGCCTGTTCTGGAGAAAGAAGTTCCATTTAGATTTGTAAGGTTCCATTCATGAATGCACAAGACTCTTCCTGTGTGATCTGGGAGAAGTCACCTAAATCCAAGAGGTGTCTCAGTTCCCTCCAAAAAATGAAGATACTGCCATGGGAGCACAGGGGAAATATTTGAATAGCTGTGAAAGAAATCTATTTGCTCAGCTCTTTGTCATCCTACAGAGGAAAAAAAATCAGCAAGGCAGTCTCATACCACCACCAATAATAGTGACCCTCTGGATCAAAGACCAGTCTACAAGGAAATGGAACAAGGCAACCAATTCATTTCACATGGGATGTTCAGGCCACATCATGTGAAAAAGGGCTCTTAACTGAGTCAGGCCTTGTTTCAACCAGGGACTTAGGCATGAAAGCCACTACTGCCTCTTACCTAGCTCCTGAGGCTTTGGGTTTCAGAACAATGTCAGTCCACACCATAAGAGGAATTTCTGGATAGAAAACCCAAGTTTAATGCAGTTCCAAACAATTTGTTTCTCTGCCTGTTCAGCCTCCTCAATTTGACACTGCTCAGATTGACACCCCATCTACATTTATGATGAATTTTGCACCTGATTGTATAAATCTGGTCTTCTCTTTATATCTGGGGGTTCAGTTGGTATTATAGTCCTACTCCCACCTAAGTTCTGGTGGTAGGGCACGTATGGGGAGGGAGTTCCATAGATAGAGCCATCCCTAGCGTATGGTGAATCAGGGCAATTGCCCTGGACCCCATCCTTTGAGGGGGCCCCGTGGAGCCAGGCAGAGAGGATGCAGCCCCTCCTGCAAGGCCCCCATGAAGCTGGTGGCTCAGTCCCGCACTGCGGAAGAAGCACAGAGACACCCCCCCGCCCTTTGTGGGGGTACCATGGCCCTGCGTAGTGTGAAGGGGGCCCCACACAGGCTGATTTGCCCCGGGTCCCGCACCGCCCTAGGGGCAGCTCTGTCCATAGATATCCTGATCCAAGACCAGAGGTGACCCTGAAGAGTAAGACTAAACCTACGTACCAGAGGATTCAGAAGCAAGTAGAAAATTGGGGGAAATTATCTGATGTGTTCTCTAGTCTACAAAAGTGCATATCTACCCTGCCTTCTGACTGACTTCAGAAAAACATGACTAATTATCTCTCTCTTCTCAGTAGATACTCACACTCAGATGGTAGCCATCTCATGTTGTACAAGCTGGAGTTTCTGGCTAATCTAGATTTGCAGCTGTAGGAATAGTAATTATAGTAATACAGTCTGAAGCAAAAGACCACATGAAACAGTTGCTAGGCCTTCACTGGATAGGAACTGGTCACTTCTGTTTTACCAATATTTTTTACTCAGAAAGAACTTGGGGAAGAACAGCAGCATGCATGGTTATTAGTCTCCCAGGTCATGCCACCAGTATAGCCAATATCAAAGGAAGGTACCATTAACCTGAAACCTAAAGTTTAGGAGTGTAACAGAAGCAACAAACATTTCCTTTCCATTCTTGTACTGCCTCAAAACCCCAGTCTTTTTCATTCCCGGAGGCTACACATGTCGCTGTGTGATAAGCAGTCTCTGCCAACAGGACTCTCCTCTTCTTTTGGGATAGTACACAGCAGACTGGTAGCATTTAATCAATAGGATTCAAGTCTCTTCAGGGTGTCTTCCTAGAAGCATGGACAGAATGGCACACATCATGGCATCAAGTTATTGGGCATTTTCACATGTGCTCCAAAGGGACGGGGGTGGGGATGGCATTTTAATTAGAGAGGCTCTGAGAGCTGCTCTAATTAAAGTGCCACAGCATCGTGTGTATCAGCATTCCTGTGCTTCAAAATGGTGTCAGGGGCACCTGACCTAAAACTTATTCATTGTCACTGAGCTTTAGTTCAAGCACCTCCTCCACCATTCTGAAGCATGGGGGTGACAATACAAGATGTGGGAGTCTGCTTGATTAATCGAGTCTGCTCCAATGCACTGTAATTGCAATGTGTTAAGGCAGCCTCTGCACTCATGTAAACGCACCCATTGATTCCCTGGAGGGTAAGTGGCAACTTTCTTAGCACTGCTGGATTTTGTTGGACCCAATCAACTTTGACCTTGACACTTTACCATCAGGCTGGACAGATGAGACAGAATACTTGAGTGACACTGCTGATTATGGATGTGATTAAAACAAAGATAAGACTCAAATATTAGCACACAGAAGGTCTGACAATAGTTAGCACAGAGGAAAGACACTCAGGAGATCTACTTCTATTCCTGGCCCCTCCACAGATCATATTCCTGGGCAAAACACATAATCTATTTATGCCTTACCTTCCCTGACTGTCAAACTGTGGGATAATAAATAAGTATCTTAATATTTATCCACTCTCCTTGGAGTGAGGATTGATTCCCTACTGTTTGTTAAGCACTTTGAGAACCTCCAGGGAATGGGGTTGAAGATGCATGAAATATTAAGTGACTGTAGTAGAAAGCTTCCTGCAGCTGCTGTGTTAGTACACACAACATCAAGCAGTCAGGATTAGCTACCCTATCTACCAATTGCTAGCCCACATCCTGTTGAGTGGTGAAACAGCCTTACTGACCCCTAGGAGCCAAGTTCCCAGGAGGCTGGCTTGGCGCAAAGCTCTGAGCTAACAGTTCCCCACCTAGAATCATGGCTCTGTGGCAGCAGCTTAGGGGCAGGATGTTGAAGGGCATGTTGTTGAAATACTCAGCTGACCTGGGTATCTAAATCAATAAGTAGACCCAAGCCAAAGGGAACAAGGTGGAATGCAGCCATCATTCAGGGACCTAAACAACCTAAACCCCTGCCATCATTCAGGGACATTCATATCCACCCCACTCCTGAGGTCATTGTCGCAGGTCCCAGACTCCCCCTAGTGCCCTTTCACTAAAAGCATGAAAAAAAAAAAAAAAAAAATCACATCTTGCCTAGATTTACAGGTCCTGCCTAGATCCAGACTTCACTAATGCCAGTTATGAGGTACTTCTGCTTATATCTCTCAGAGTCTTTGTCTCTGGTACCAAATTCTCTTGAAGACACCCAATTCCTCATTTTCTAAATTTCCTATTCAGACACTTCCCCTCAAAATCCAGAGCCCATGGAAATCCAGAGAACATCCGGTGTAAATAATCCAAAACTAACAGAGAAATAAAAGAATAACCATTAACACACCCTTCTACCTGAAAGAAATAAAATATTTGCCTCTTATCTCAAACTGCATCCTGCCTCTGTGCAAATCCTTAACCCTCAGGAGAATCATTATAAAACCCAAATCCAGCCACTACTAGCATTTACAAGCCACCTTCCACGTGCACACCCTCAGGAAATGGTCCTCTGCATGGCTAGAGAGCACAGGCATTTCAGGAACTGGGCACAGAAAAGAGTAAGGTGCCAGACATTGCTCCTTGACCTATATCCAAGCAAGACTGAATAAATTAATAATCCCCACTTTATCAGGTCTAAGGCAATCTCCCAGTTTCTAACAGATGAGCTCTGCACATGCATTTCAAATGCAGGCTTGGTAGCACAGTAAAAAAGGAGCAAGATTACCTGTCAAGAATTTGGACAGCTCCACTTGACCAGGTGTCCCAGACCTAGGAATAAAGACAAAAAACAAAGAGACGGAGATATCCAACAGCTCACAGTCCTCTGCACCAAGGAGAGGGAGTTAGTTTAGATGTCTACACATTCATTTCAGGAGCCGTACAACAAGATGAGCGCTATTTATTCTGCTCCCAGTTAGCGATATGGAAAGCAGCATGAGCACTGCCTGTGATCTCCTTCTGATGGCAGTCCTGAGTAGTGATAGCAAGTGAAACTTAAAAAGTTCATTTTAACTCAGTGGGAATCTTATGGCAAAATGAAAAAAAAAATCCCCAAGCAAACCACCAAGTGAGACAGCCCTTACAACTGCCTTGCCTACTAAAAATAAGGTCAGTTTTCAAAAGTGAAATGAATTATCTGAATAGAAAGGGCAGATCACTTCACAAATTCCCCACTTCCAACAGGGGCCAGTTATATTTTCATTGAACTTAGACTGTGAAAGCTACAAAAAGTGTAACATCAACCTGGCTTGAGATGACACAAAACGGTTAATACCCAGGATACAAAGTCCTCTCAGCGACTTTTGCCATGAGCCATGGATAACGTACGCTGTTGGACACCAATCTGGTTTACAGCTTGGGGTACTTTGTACCCCAAGCTGTAAAAAGTTGTGTTGTGTGGCTTTAAAACCTTAAAAAGTTGTGTTGTGTGGCTCTAAATACTGTATTTTATAGAATTGCTGTGAGTGTTAACTGACTCCTGGCAAAAGTCCCTTAGAGAATTTTGCAGATAATAGCACAGTATTTTAATGTGCATGTTTTAGTATCTGAAACACCACTACACAGATGTGTAAACTGACTTTTAATACCTCAGGGTCAATCAAACCAAAATGTTAAAATATGAGCCAAGTTTTATCTTGATCTACTCCCTTTGTAAGCACACTGAAGTAATTAAGAGCCAGAATCTGATTTCCATCCTCACATCAAGTAGACATTTCCTTATACTATCAATAGATTTAAAAGAACCAAGACTAAATCATTTTTCTCAGAACTGCACATAGAGATTCTCTGGGTTCCTGGGTCATTTAGAAACCTAAGTCCCATTTTCAAAGTCACTTAAAACCATTTGAAAATTTCATCTTGAGTCATTCTTTTGTAGGAAGGTTGATCTGATAACAGAAACTCTGGACTGGGATTCCTTAAATTTGTGTTTACATCCTAGCTCTGTCATATACTTCCCGAGTGATCTGGGGGCAAATCACTTGGTGCTTCAGTTTCCCATTTGTAAAACAAGGATAACAACATTAACTTGGCATCTTGCCTAATCAGAATGTGAACTCTTTGGGGCAGAGATGCATTTGCTCGTTCCTTACCATGGGTGGGCTCTAATTTTGGTTGCAACTCCTAAATAAGTGGTTCTCAAACTTTTTAGACTCAAGGCACTCCTCACTACACTCGAGGCACCCCTCGGAAAATGCCAGCTCTTAGCTTTCACTTGTTTTTTGACCATGGAAAAATAATGAAGCAATTCCTCTGTGAAGAACTCAGAAAGACCACAACATGTTAGAATGTTTTTGACACTATGGATATTTATTTGAACTAATCTCTGAGTTTATTTAGTGAATCCTGTGTAAGCATTTGCACATCTAAAAAAGCTAATATTGCACAGTACTCCACAACACCCTTAAAAGGATGTCACAGGACCCCAGCACCCTGGTTAAGGATTAGTGGCCTAAATGTTAGTGAAATTAAAAAAAAATGTAACTGTTATAAGAACCAGATATTTAATGTAAACAAAAATCAATCTACAATCTTAAAGACTTCCAGTGATGGAGATCCCAAAACCTCCTCAGGCAATCTGTACCATCATTTAACCACCTTCATAGTTAGAAAGTTTTCCTTATATCCAATATATATTTCCTTTGTTCAAGTTTAAGTCCATGATGTCTTGTGCTGCCCCTCGTGGACACAGAAAGCAATTGATCAATATCCCCTTCATAACAACTCTTTCTGTATTTGAGGACTTGTGATCAACTTCCCTTCTAAATATTTTCTTCTCCACACTAAATAATTCCAGTTCTTCCAACATTTCCTTGCATTTATGTTTCCTAATCTTTTAATAATTTTTTTGCTCTCTTCTGGATTCTTTCCAATTTGTCCATGTATTTCTTGAAATGTGGACCCAGAGTATTAGACATTCTGGGTCATCCTTCACCAGTCCTGAAAGGAGTGGAAGAATTGCTCCCCTCTCCTTGCAAATTATATTTACTACACCCCTGTCTGTTGTTAAATTTTATTGCAACAGTAGCTTGCTGTCCATTATAATACTGATATCTTTTCACGTAGGACTGAAGCCTAATCTGTTGCTCCCTGTTTTTGTAACTGCGTTTTGAATGTTCCTTTCCAAGCATAATACTTTGCCCTTGTCTTTATTGAATTTAATCTTATCTATTTCAGATGATTTTCCCACATTTATAAAGGTCATTTTAAATCCCAGTCTTGTGCCTCTCTTAATTTGGTTCCATCTGCAGATTTACTAAGTGTATACTCAGTCCCATCCTTCAAGTCATTAATGGAAATATTGAGTAGTATCAGACCCATGACAGACCCCCAAAATATCTCACGTGATGCCTCTTTCCAATTTGACTACTCTTTGAACACATTTATTTAACCATATATGCACCTCCCTGCTAGTAATTTCAGCTAAATTGTATTTCCGTATCTTATTTATGGGCACATCTACATGAGACACTAAATGTGCAGTCAACTAATAGTAGTGCACATTAGCAAATCACAGCAAAAGCCATGCTAATGCGCTAATGCACAACAGAATTAGTCTTCTGTGCATTAGCATCATGTAAAAAAACATGTGCCAGTGCTACTGTGCAGTAGTACCAATTATGGCACATTAATGCACATGTAGATGTGTTCTATGAGAACATGATGAGGATTATTATGAGAGATTTTTCCTTTTTTAAAACACTTTTAATTATTGTGATGCCAGGCTACAGCTGTCTGTCTGGGGAAGGCTTCCCTTGCCAGTTGCTTGCAAGAGTAAGAAAATGGGAATACAAGTGAGCTTTTGAAGTCAACACTTTTATGGCAGGGTCATATGTGCTTATGATGGCAGTAGCATGCAAGGTCTATCTAAAAACTATGAAATGGCTACTTGTTCCTTTTTAGGAAGGATCTAGTTTTTACTGCAATGAAGCAGAAATCTCTGTATACATCCTTATTTCCTGTCTGTGTTTTTTCTTCCAGAAAGTAAATTGGTAACAATACACAATGGACAACACCCATTGGGAGTTTAATGTTGTACACCCCATCATTCGGACAGATATAGATAGATACAAGGTAGTTTCATCCACAGTTAATCTCTGCTCTCTTTAGGGCCTGTTGTGTGCTCCAACCTTTAATCTTATATAAAAGTGTAACAAAACTATGTTTTCACAGTAATTCTCCACATGTGCTTATCATTCAGAATCCATTACTTTGTGTTAATGAATATTTTGGCTGAAGATAAGGCTGGGGTGAGATTTTGAAAGGATAAAAATATGAATTGTCACATCCTATTCTAAAATTGAAGCATGATATTTAAGTTTATACTTCCTGATTTTTTTGTGGAGAGCAACTGTAACCCACGTGAAACAAAGAACGTTTGTTTCTGAATATAAATATGAGGGAATAACCAAGGACAGCAGTTGGCTAGAGCAGACAGAATAGCCTTACAACAAGGCATATGATCTCACTAGTCACAGTTTTCACTATGTTATAGAATCATACACATACCCATCCACTTGTCTGGTGATGCTCTATTCATTGAGGTTGCTTTTAACTAATGGCTAGAATAAATTTCCACTTGAATTGCAGTTAATTCAGAACTGATCTTGATTTCAGCAGTATGGAGATGAGTGAGGTTTTATGTTACGTTAACGGCCCCCTTTAGAATGTATGTTTATGTCTTTTAATCTAGTGTGCTTCAGTTGCACCAGAGAGAAAACCCATTACAGTTCTTGGTGTGAAGAAGCCAGTGGATATACCAGCATTTCAGCCCCAAAATGCTATTGCAAAGCTGGATATCAGATGTCAGCCCCAACAGCCTGAGGAAAGAATTTGAACCCATAAGGTAGGAATGGCCCCCAAGTACGGCAGAACCATGAAAACACAACCAGCTTGGAGATAAGTTATAGCTAGGCATGAACCATGGGGGAAAGCAAAGCAGCACAGGGTAAAAGAGACAGGAAGCAATTTATCTTAGCAAGAGGCCATATTAGACAGGCTCTTCCATCAGTGATGTGATCTCCTCCTAGTCCCACATCCTCACCATAAGCCAGTGGCCTGGTGTGACAGGATTTGCAGCCTGCAGTGGAACAAAGAGGGTTTCCTGCCTTCGTCTGCACAGGATGTTCTATGGCCACAATTCACTCCTCACAGCAAGAAGCAGTTATTGCCCCCTCATGCTACGCAGAAAAAATATGGGGCTTGTGGGAGGGGGACACCTACATTGCAGGAAAGCAAGGTACAACTGCAATAATAGAAAAAAAAATCTGGTACCTGGCTGTATATGGCCATTGAAAGAGGACAGCAAGAGTGGGCATGAAGATGGAGGTGCTCTTATGTCTGGAGAGTCCCCAGAAGAAAGGCTTCCATAGCAGGGGCTAGTCACTTCATCAGACCTTCACCACTGGACATCCTGGTGTTAAGACAAATGAGATCACAGAAGTGAGTGAATACATCAGAATCAACCCAATATACAGTGACAAGTTACACCTGTGACTGGAACAGGAGTCAGGACTGGGAAGCACTGGCAGAGCTGTGTGGAGCCCTAAAGCAGAAATAAGTAAAGAGGTTGCAGATAGGGAGTGAGAGGCATCAGAAGACGCATAGAGTTGAAGGCTGGGACAATCAGAAAATAACAGGGTTGAAGTCAGGATGAGGAACAGGGTTGTGGGAGTGGAAAGCCCAGACTGGGTTAACAGCTAGACAGCAGGTCAGGCTGAGGCACATAGACAGAGCTGTATATGAGGACACCACCCAGTTATCCTCCCTCTTTTGCATCTTTGATGGGGTTTTTTTCTTTAGTTCAAGCATAAAAAGTCAATTCACTCAAAATGTTCAACAGAAACTCTTAGGGGTGCAGAGGGTCTTCCCTGGCAGTAGTACTCTCCTATTCTATGGCAGGAAATACCCCCGAACAGTTATATTTGGGGATACTGGAGAAGTTACTGCTTTTCTCCAGTCCTGTTCATAAGAAGGAAGCAGTACTATGGAACGTGTCTAATCGCTCTTTTCATGGGAATGTCTGTACCTATTCTGCTGTGAATTTTGCTGCTGGTATATGTTCCAAGAGACACAAGGTCCCTTCTCTTCCTCCTATACCTACTGACCACAGAGCGTTTTCAGCCAGGAATCTTCTAGCTCAACCCAATAAAACATCCTTCTAAGTCACCAGCAATTCTGCTCTTCCACCCTGGACCAGTTACCACTAAAATACAATTAAGGAAGGCTATTAAACATAGAGGGCATGTCCAGATGAGTGGGAACATGCGTTTTCCCAGGGACGAGTAGTAGCAGCACACCTTGTTCTGCTGCTACTTCTCCCTGGGGAACATCCAAGCCATGCATGCTCTAGCATGCAGCAGGTTTCCCTGAGTGGAATAGGGGAGGCTGGGGCCAGCAACTGTGCTGGCCCCAGCAGTCTTACCTGAGGTCCTGGGGGCCTCTAGGAGCTGCAGCCATGGCTCTCCTGCAGCAGGAAGCCTGGCCAGCAGCCAGAGCATGGCTCCAGCTGGCCAGACTCTGGTTTTGGGTGACATGTGCTGCCACCACGTGCGCCAATGCACTTTTTTTTTTGGCATGGGTTTTTTTGACCCTGGGATATCCCAGAGTCAGCCCCCCTTCCCCCATCCACCTGTGCTGCAGAGTAGCAGTGCAGGGGACATCTACTTGTGTGGTGAATGGCACTGCAAATGGGTCTGCGGTGCCATATACCGCATGTCTGCACTTGTCTGGACATGCCCAGACTTCTTCTTGGGATTGCTTCCTTTAAAAAGCAGATGCTGTCCTAGTGTTTGAAGCACCCTCCAGAATCTGAGCTAAATTCAATAGATCTTATTCTGCACTTTTGCAAGAAAGTACTTGAAAAAATTAGCGCCCACATGGGCATCTCAGTGGGGTTCCCACTGCGATGGAGTCCTGAGGGCAGACTGCCAGATGTTGATATTCCAAGGGAGGGTGGTGGATCTGAGGCCTAGATTGTCTCTTAGACTTCCAATCTAGGAAGGGAGGCAGAGTGCATATTTCTAAGGTAACTGGGGTAGAAGGAAGAAGCAGTGACAGAGTTCCCCAAAGATGCACCACTGGTGAAACGATTTCCCTGAGGGACATGTAGCCTTCAAGGTTACTGACTAAATACCTTCCCATGAAGGGGAACACACCCTTTTGTCCCACACTGTCCTGATGGGAGCATTCAGCAGATTGCCAGGCAAATCTCACGGAGACTTCCATGGCATTAGTTGGTATGGCTTTGATGTTTGTGGGTATGATCTTCAGATACTGGGTCAGGTAGATTCATACCCCTGATGAGCACCTGAGACAGTTCTTACACTTGAATGCTAGAATGGGTGGAATATTGAATGTGTGAGCAGCTCAAAGCTGGGTGCCCAGTTACATGGACAGATAATGTTATAATAAGCACATGATGGGAAGAGTATCAGGCCAGATGTGCATCTTATAAACACCTCTGAATTTCTCAGGAACAAGTAAAAGAGCTTGTGTAACTAAGATGTCTTTAAGGAGAGAAGTATTTTAAGGCTAATGAGAAGTCTTTAAGGAATGCAGTGCATTTACTGATGTACCTACTCCCAAGCTGCACTCTTCTCATCGCATAGCTTTAAGCTTCAGGCTATGCTCATGGCAAGGTGACTAATGCTAACTTTGGTTCTTTCCACCAAGCAAACTTATAATAAGGAAATGAACCTCAGGAGGAAATGTTCCCTTTCCCAAAGCAAAGCCAAATAAAGTTCTCACCAACTACAAACCTAGTATTTAAGGACTTGGGAAGGGTGGTTCCAAAGAGGATGGAGCTTAACTATTCTCAGTGGTGGCAGATAACAGAACAAGGAGCAATGGTCTCAAGTTGCTGCAAGGGAAGTTTAGGCTGGATATTAGGAAGAACTTTCTCACTAGAAGGACAGTAAAGCACTGGAACAGCCTACCCAGAGAAGTTGTGGAATCTCCACCTTTGGAGGTTTTTAAGACCAAGCTAGACAAAGCCTTGTCTGGGATGATCTAGTTGGAGATGGTTCTGGTTTGAGCAGGGGTTGGACTAGATGACCTCCTCGGGTCTCTGTCAGCCCTAATATTCTATGATTCTATGACATGGAGCTAAAACTGGTTTGCAGGACAACCACTGGAGGCTGAGAGTTAATTACTTGCACTACTTTTTCTTTAGGCAGCTTGGTCTCAACTCTCCTGAATGAACCAAGAAAAGGATCAGGATTGTGGATGTCAGAAGTTTAACATCATATTGCAACGGAAGGTTTGGGGATGGAGTGGGTTGAGGGGAACAGAAATGAATTTTATCTCACTTTCAGACTGGCATGGACTGTAGGGTTTTTTGCCTTTGTAGTGGGGGGCATGGTCCTCTTCCTTGTATTGCTTAAGTGTATTTTAAAAAGCTTTTTCTGTTCCTGCAGTGATAGGGCACAGAGTGCCCTCGTCCCTGGCAGCTTAAGGTGTTCTTACTGTTTGGGGGTATTGCCTGGTAGTTTAGTGTGAGAGCCCGGAGGGCACTCACTGAGGGCGTATCCCCAGCCAGGGACATGGACCACCCCACGCTGCAACGTTCGTGCTACAGCGAGAACTCCTGATCTGCACCAGCCCAGCTTTACCTCCATACCAGGTGAAGCGAATCAGGGCCAATCTGCAGCATGGGCTATATCTGGAGGCTGGGGTTGGGCCCGAGGGAGGAGGGATGCTGAAGGAGCAGAGGCGTGGAACCAAGGAGCCAGAAGCGTGGGTAAGCCCTTGGGCCAATTCAGAAGAGGTGGTGGCACACTCACCACAGGAGTGAAGAGGAGGGTGGAAGAGATGAGGCACCAGAGGGGGATCCGGGAGAGACCCTGGGAACGGCGGAGGCAAGGGATCTGCACAAACCGCTCGCTGTGGCACTTTTCTCCTCTCCGTACTGTTTTTTTCTCCCTCTTGTGGACGTCTCTCGCCCAGTGGGAGAGTTCAGCCCAAGGCCAGGCATCCGTTCAGGAAGGGAATGGAAGCAGATCCCCAAGGAGGCTCCGCAGCTGAGACGGGGGCGGGCAGAAACCTCGAACAGCGAGGACCCTGCCCTGTCCCCAGCTGGTCGCTCTGGAGGGAATCCCCAGCCACTTAAGCAATGCTTGCCAGAAATTAAGCCTTAGCGGTTCATCTTTAAAGTCCCGGG